TCATAAAACTAAATGTTCAAGGTAAGAATCTGGTAAAACTCTTCTCCCTGATATCAATTAAAAGGGTTATCTGTTAAAAGGGCATTTAATCCTATGAACTTTCATCCACAGTCTAAAACTGTATACAGTTATGGATAATTCCTCAAAAGATGAAATGTTTAAAATAAATATGGAGGTGATTTCCCCCTTTCTCCCAAAACATTAGTTTTGAGGGTATCTAATGAGGCTTAATATAGCAGAGGATCCTAGAGAGATATAAGAAAGTACTTCTTCATAAAACACATAGTTAACCTATAGAACTTTATGTGATTTTGTGAAGGCCACCGATGTGGTCAGCTTGAAACAAGACTCATAGGGGACAAATCTATCACTGGCTTCTTGTCACAATGCATATGCATTATCTCCAATATCAAAATACCTCTGAATATTGGCTGCTGGGAAACACAAATGCCTAAGACCAGGTGCAAGTGTGGTCATGGTCTGTTTTTAGACTTTTTATGTCTTTTTACCTGTCTATCTGTTTTTGGTTTTTTTCTTGCAATTTACCCCCTTCCCCCAAAAAGGGATGGTATCTGTTATACAGCAGCCAAAATCCAGTACAATGTTAGGGCTACTAGAATAACAGGCAATCACATCTAATGCCATTCTTGATTATATGCACAGAGATATAATGTAGAATGTGTGTTAGTCTTACGTAGAGCTCAGATATTTTAATGTTTTGGTCTGCAACTCCACGAATCCTCCAGCCAGCACACCTGGCAGAGAACATGGTGGCAGTAGGAGACACCCAAAAGTAAAATTATCAAGTTCTTCTTCCTTTATAATGATTTAAGGTCCGAGTTGAGTTGAAAAGCTCTGCAGGAGTAAACCTGCCTGTGGATTTCTAACTATTCACTGAAGTAACAGAATGCTAGACTACATAAACCTTTTGGCTGCCCCAGGACGGCTCTTCTTACATTTTTATTTTGTTTATATCTTCAACCACTTAGTGATGACAGCATGTCTAATTTCTGTACTGGATTCAACCTTTTTCATTCTAAAGAATTGTTCCTGTTCCTTTTGGATCAAAACAATGTTTGCAATCAACTCCTCCCCCTCCTCTGCCGTTACCCATTCCATTTCTTAAGGAAAAAAGCTAGCACAAAGCACTGCAATAACTTTTAAATCCTCTAGAAAGTTTTCTTTCTTACAAGAATGTTTCAAGTACCATTCAAGAGAAAAACAGTTACTGCAAACCTTCATGCCTTCTTCCCAGCTGATCCAAAGGTCTCCACGGGTCAGGAAGCAGGCCACTGCATGGCGAGCAAGATGGTGTATCCAACCTTCCTGACGAAGCTGAGTCATAATTGCATCAATCCAGGGAAACCCAGTCTGTGCCTTAAAAAAAATGATCTTAGTTTTTCTGATCAACTCAAGAGTGCTTCTTTCTCTCCTTTACCACTCAGGAAAAATACAGATTAGAAAAACACATACACAAATATCTATATTCCTTGGAGACAATAACAGAATGAATGGTATGACAAAAAACCTACGGCCTTCGAAAATTTACTGCTTTATTCATTTTTAGTTTCAATGTTAACCCCCTTAGTTTTATATTATATGTTATGGACCCTGTGCTGTATACTAGATGAGCAAAAGTAAAAAATTCCTGTCAAAACGACGATCAATGTTCTACAACAAACACTCCACTTCTCTGGTCCCATTTTCTTACCATTGTCCATTTGTGGAGCTTCTCTGCATCTTCATACCATTCTATCTGCAGGCAGATGGGATTCCCAACCATTTTTGTAAAATTGGGTGTTGCTGATGCTACTGTATAAAAGAATTCTCTCCATAGCAGCTGTCCTTGAAGAGATACTGGCGGCAGAGAATGATTCTTTGACTGTAACATGATTATGGCACATGTAAAATATGCATAGTAATCAATATTAGGAATTCTACAAATTGTAGTCCAAACCAGTTACTTTCCCAAGCTCTGTTTTTAGCAGTGCAACAGCAAGCTATTTTACAATGCACTGGTCCAAATCCAACTGCACTGCTTTGATTTTGGGCGGCTTGTGACTTCATTTCATTACAAACAATTCACAAGGAATCCAAAACTAAAACAAAATATTTAATTAGCAGCAAATAGTGGCGGTCTGCAACAGGGTATTAGCCATTGTTCCAAAACCTATCATGAACTCTGATTTTACATTTTGACATGCTTAGATACCATCTTACAAGTTTCACTTTTATAGTTATAAGAAACAGATTAAACCTCTCTTTTACAATATAAAATGTAAAGCCCTTACAAACCTTCTGAAGGACTTAAGTACATGACTTAATAGAAATGTATCAAACAACTCCTTTCTAAAAAATCTGGTCAAATACTTCATGCAGGACAAAATCCTGTTGGCGATTTATGCATGCACGAGTTAAATTGCAGAAATTGCTGCAGTGAACAGCAGGCACATGCTTAGTTATGTAACCAGTGCCTCTTTAATTAGCAGCAATTTGCCACAGTAAGTTACACAATTTCTTGTAACACACACATAATTCACTAACAGGATTCTTGCCAGTGCATATAGTAATCTTAATCCATTTGAGACAGGAATCCTGTTGGTTTGCTAAACTGCTGATTCAGATGAAAGTTTGAAACTAGAGATGGGGGTGTTCGTATATGAATATCCCTACACACATGGAAATAACAAGGGTCCGGCCCAGGGGGCTGGACTCTCCACTCACGATTTTGCCACTGGCTTCGCAGAGGCTTCCTATTGCGTCAATTAATTACCCAGTCCTGACAGGAGGTGGGATGACAAACCTCTCTGCTAGGTCGGACAGTGGCTAATCCATTGTGGGGAACAGCGCAATAGGAAGCCTCCATGGATCCGGCGACAGCAGTGAAATTGTGAGTGGACAGTCTGGCCCCATGGGGCCGAACCCTCGTTATTTCCACCTATGCAGGGATATTCGTATATGAATACCCCCATCTCTATTTGAAACCAATTCTGGATGGTACTCCTTACTACAAAAACAGATGCTCAGCTTGGGGACTCAGTGTTATTGCTGGCTATAAATGCCTTACAACAGCTTGTGATGGTCTGGTTGCAACCCAGTCTGGAGACAGTGGATCTGATTCTATCCAGACCAAAGAAAGAAAGAAAACTAAAAGACAATAATAAAAGAAACCAAAGGCTTAAGTGCGAACAGAGACCAACAGTAGTTCTAGCATTCCTGGAAGCTTTCACAATGACGGCTAAAAGGAACTGAGAGGGCTCGGGATTTGCATGCCAATACATGCGCGCTGGGAGGGGGAGAAGACTAATGGTCTGTTCTCTTTAGCTATAGAATGTTTCAAAGTTCCGCATATGCACACTACAAACCCATACAGTATGTGTGATTCATGGAGGCCGCAATCACAAACAAGATTTAATAACAGTCTGGAAATGTTATCTGGTGGAAAATGTGGAAGGTATAATGTTCGTAGCAGCTAGGTAGTTTGTACTGCACCGTTTTTGCATCAGTTGCAATAGTTATTCGCTTGCTTCTGGATTCAGTATAAGGTGCTGAAATTTAAAGCCCTGAACAGTATGAGATCATCTTATTTAACAGCCTGCTCTCCTATGATCCTGCTTCAAAGGCCCTGTCCTCTGGCACACCACTAAACTTGATCAGGTTGACAGGTACCAGGGACAGGATGCTTTTAGCCATGGCACCACAACTCTGGAATTCCCTCCCTTGGGAACTCTATCCAGCCCTTTCTGGGCAGTTTTAAGCAGTACCTAAAGATTTCTATTTTGTCAACCTTTTTATTGAGCTTATGAGCAGCCACTGTAGATTTTTTTTCACTCTGACAGTGTTTCATCTGATTACTTTGTAACATTTAAGTATATGTTGCCTTTTCTGGATCTGAGCTATAAAGCAAGTTAGGAATAAATGAAAGAAACATGCACTTCTACTGTAGGAATGTAATGTGTTTTTCTTTGTGTGTGTGGAAATTCAGTCCCCAAACCATGAGAGTATATTTAGAGCAAACTGCAAAACCATATGCAACCCTTCAGGTCTGTTTTTATAGGCCCAGGCTCGAGACTCCTCCTTCTCCTCCAAAATGTTTGTCCAGCCAAAACAAAAAACAAAAAAAACCCACAAAAAGTACACTGCTACTTTCACATTTTCAATAAGTTGCAGAGTCTCTGCGAACAGGTCGACACCCCAACATTCCTAGTCTTCCAAATCAGAAGTAGACTTGTCCTTCTTACTAGCTTCATTATCTTTCTTTTTCATAATCTGTGTGGCCCACTGAAGGCAGAATATGGGCCCCCACATTCACCAAAGGCAGAATATAGGCCCCCACATTCACCAAATGGTCAACATCTTCTCTTATACTGGGCTTGGCCAGTATTTCATCATACGCATGCCATTCTTACCTGATATGTTAATCTTACCTGAGCATAAATTTTTGACAATCTGTGGAAAAACGTCCGAACTGATAAACAACCGAAACTGAAATAGGGACTCAAGCCAGTAGTACTTGGAAGCAAAGAATTTGGGATAGTTCTTGGCTTGGTAAAATTTGCTATCCAACCCTAGAAAAAAGAAACACAAGAAGAGGAAGCACTGCCTCCCATAAATAGGATAACAGCTGTGCTAACTGGCTTACTGTGTGCTTGTTGTATTTATTGGTAGCTTTCAGACTTCATCATTCATTTTATTTAATTATTTCTTTATTTATTGGACTTATATACCGCCCCATAGTGCTACAAGCACTCTCCGGGCGGTTTACAATTTTAATTATACAGGCTACACATTGCCCCCCCCAGCAAGCTGGGTACTCATTTTACCGACCTCGGAAGGATGGAAGGCTGAGTCAACCTTGAGCCGGCTACCTGGGATTTGAACCCCAGGTCGTGAGCACAGTTTTAGCTGCAGTACAGCGTCTTAACCACTGTGCCACGAGGCTCTTTATCTTTTTTTTTTTAATTTTAAAAAAATATTCTGCAAGCTGACCTGGACAACATTTAGTAGAAATGATAGCCTATATATCTACACTTTAAATAAAAAATATTCACTATGGTCTTGTTTTTTAAAAAAACTACACAAACTCCCCACAACAGCACTCTGCTGATAGACACAGAAATTTGTCTTCTAATGTAATATGAAACTAATATAAATCGGATATCAGTGGCCTGTAGTGCCTGATCTGTAATAAACTAGTCATTTGCTACAGATCAAACTTCCTTCTTTCATCAAATAATTGAGTATATATACAGATGCTAGCAGCATGGAAGGCAGCAAGATCTATGGCTTCTACGTAGTCAGGTGATGTTTTTGCCCATTCCCCTTCAATCATAACTCATCTTCTAGAACTGCTGTACACATACAGTAGGACCCCTGTATCCGTGGGATCAGTATTCACAGTTTCACTTGTCCATGGTTTGAAAATATTAAAAGAAAATAAAAACAGAAAAAATGTATATTCACACAAATTGGCCACTAGACAGGGCTATGAATAATTGTTAGCAAAGAATACATAGCATGGTTTCTGGCACCCTCTAGTGCCCAGTTCTGCTAATGTATGTGAAAATACAGTGGTGCCTCGCTTAACGATTTTAATTGGTTCCAAAAAAATCATCGCTATAGGAAAACATCGCTAAGCGAACTGCGGTTTCCCATTGAAATGCAGTGAATACTGGATAATCCATTCCAATGGGAACTGATTGCCGTCCGTAAGCGAAAATCGCCATAGGAAACATCGCTAAGCGAAACACGGTTCCCCAATTGAAATGCAGTGAAACTTATTCAATGCATCTCAATGGGGGAAAAAATTTACAACAAATTTAAAAAGAGTCGGAACAAAGTCAAATTAGTTTAACAAAGGGTTTATTAAGTGCACTTATGATTTCAAGCATTCTAAACATTTTTAAACATATAAAAAACAGCCAACATGAGGCTGTCAAAGCCATCGTTAAGCGAAACAGGGGGACCCAAACTGTCATCGCTATGCGAAGCATGGTCCCAAACATCGCTATGCGAAAATTGCCCATAGGGAACATAGTTAAACGGAGCGCAAGATCGCTCCGAAAAAGACATCGCTAAGCGAATTCATCATTAAATGAAGCGCTCGTTAAGCGAGGCACCACTGTAACTTTTTTCTGTTTTTCCCCTTAACCATTCTCTCTCTCACTCACTCTCTCTCTCTTTCTCTCTCTCACACACACATTTGCTATTATCCATGGTTTTCAGTATCCATGGGGAGGGAGCTTTGAACCAATCCCCAGTGGACATAGCGGATACAGAAGTCTTACTGTATTTCATATTTACAGAATACTTAGAAAAATCACTGAATCCAAAGACTATATCATTGCTACTAGTGAAGTAGTTCCAACTGTGCCACTACCACTAGTGGTGCATGTTATCATTTCTTGCACACTACAGTAACATCATAAATGTTTTTAGAAAGTTCCTAGTATGAAATCATACAGTTAGAACTGTGGAAAAGATGACTTTTGTATTCATATTAAAAACAACTGCACACAGGAAATAGTTGCTAAATAAAACAATTTGAGGCATGTTCCAGAATCCTATATATCTTATATGAGATTAAAAGCAGTGGCTCTAACTGTATTTAGGCTCCTCTTATCAAGGTCATTAGAGGAATTGTTGACTCTCCTCCTCCCTGCAAATACCATGAATAAGCTGGATATAACAGGAAGAAGACTAACCTGGTTTTTCAAGTGCTCTTCAAGTCGTTGCAACCCAGCTGTTTCACCACCTCTCCAAGGTGACTGGTTCTCTTCGCAAATTCCCAGATCCTCAGGACGAGGCACCCTGTAACATTCATCCAGGCCCACTTCAGGGAGTGGGCAGAGTTTTCTAAAGAGGAGAAGAAGAATAAAAACAACAATCTATTTCAAAAGTTAAAAGTTACCATTAGGAAACAAAATGCTTTTCAATCCAGCTTGTAAAACAAGATCAATACTGCCAGCTTTTAAATCAGAGAACCAGTGGCTTCATTAGAAATCATTAGTTCTTATTACCATTGGAGAAAACCATGTCCTGAAGCCAATACTAATGGAAGAAACACGACATATTGGAGCAGCTGCCTTTCCTATCTTCCTGTGTTTGCAGAAACAACAATATCAAGGCAAGTTTCTAAGAAGCAGTGACCAACGAAAGACAAGTGGCTCCTCAAAACTGAATTCTGAGCTGAGCTAACAAAGATGTTCTCACACACAATCTATTGGGAAGAAAGAAAAGATATTTAACTACTGTCATAATGAATGTAAGCACAAACATGAGCAAAATAAGTAGCTAGATCACAGTTCTTACAGTTGTTCTAAATCTCTGTACCTTCCATAATTCTTCTAAATAAACTTATCCCCCATATTTTCAGAATACACTTGTTATATACATAAACTAATAAAAAAGACTGAAAGCTGAGGAACATAGTACAGTAGTGCCTTGACTTACAAACGTTCCGACATACAGTGGTGCCTCGACTTACGAATTTAATCCATCCCAGAAGTGGAAATGCTCATAAATCGAAACACCATATCAGTGGAAATGCTCATAAATCGAAACACCATTTCCCATTGAAATGCATGGGAACAGGATTAATCCATTCCAGCATTTAAAACAAACCAACAAACAAAAACAACAAAAAAATAAAAATAAAAATAAAACACTGCAAATCCCTGGGGCTGCAAAAAACAACACAAATCCAAAAATAAAAATAAACATAACCCCACCAGCCCAATCTCACCCTGCAAAAGCCACACAAAATAGTAAAAAGCTAAAAGCACTTTACCTCCACTGCTGCCGCCCGGCCCTGGCTTCACCGCCACAACTGCCGCCACTGGGGGGGCCTCCGGGAGGTCTCCCGGGCTTCCAGTGCTGCCACCAGGAAGCTTCCCAGGCTTCCAACGGCGCCACCGGAAGGCCTCCGGGAGTCCGCCCATTACCTCACTGTCCCGGGGGGGGAGAATGCTGGCCCCTGTCCGGGGAGGACGTCCGGTGGGGATGTACAGGTGGCCAAGCGGGACAGGAGTGAAGCCCCCTCCTCCCCACCGCCCCCATCCCATGGCGGCAAGAGCCCTTCCCCGGGGTTGCCGAGCACTCTTGCGTGCAGGGCGCCGGGAGTCTAGGCACCCTGGAGCCGAGAGAAGCAGAGCACACCTGGGAGCCCCAGCCAGCCCTGGCACATTCCTTCCGCCACCTGGCCAGCCTTCCCCCACCCCGGGCAGCATGGCAAAGTTTGGTGGCGGCGCCCATCCTCCTCCCTGCATGCGGGACTGGTGGATATGGGGGACTCACCAGGGAGGCTGTGCATGGCTAGGATGGTCCAGTGGCTCGCTTCCCGCCACCGCTGGCGGAAGCTCAGGAGGCGAGCCTCCCTTTTCCTAACCATTGTGGTGAAAGAGCTACAAAGCAGCAGCCTTTTTTGCCACCAACAGTTTGAATTTCCCTCCTTTCCCCCCTGCGTTATTCTGTTCTTATGTCAAAGCTCCACTTGTGAGTCGAAGCAAAATTTTGCGAGCGGAGCTCTTGTAAGTCAAAATGTTCGTAGGCAGGGGCATTCATAAGTCGAGGCACCACTGTATGACCATTTCAAGTTACGACCAGCTCCAACCACAAAATTTTGCTTCGACTTGCAGCCGGAGCTTCCAGTTATGAAAACAAAAAGGCAGGAGGAAAAGGCGGGAAATTCAAATTGCTAACTGTAGGTGGCGAGGAGGCTGCTTCTTTGTAGTTTTTTTGCCCCGGCAGTTAGAGTGTGTGCGATCGGAGGAGGCTTGGGACTGCCTGACTTCTGCTTCTGAGTGAGAGTGTGTTTGTTTGCAGGCAGGCTTGGGACTGCTTGATAAGATAAGGTGCTGCTTTCTGCTTTTAAAAAACTGTTCTGGGTGGGTTTTGCAGCGTGGTTTTGGGCTGGGGGGTTTATGTTTCTGTGCTGTGATGGGTCTTGGGGGGTCTGTTTTCTGGCGTGTTCCCCCCCCCCATTTCCGATGGGTCTTGGGCTGTTTGGTTGTTCTTTTTGGTTTTTTCCCCTCATTTCCAATGGGTCTTGAATGCTTCCCTTGCTTTTTGCTCTGTTTTCTTTGCATTTCTGATGTGCTCCCTTTGTTTTCTTTGCCTTTCCGATGGATCTTGCACGCTTGATTGCTTTTCTCCCCCTCAGTAAGCTGAGATAGCTGAGGAGAGAAAAAATGGCACATACCTTGCCTCTGTAAACAGGCTTCCTTCAGCCAAGAGGCTTAGTTTCCTACAGTCAGGAGACTTAGCTTCCTCCAATCACGAGCCTTATCACTGACATCAGCTGATCCTGAACAAACCAACTGGAACACACCTCCTTGGAGGTGGAGCCTGTAGGCTCAAGATTCAACAGCGACAAAATGTCCGATGTTCTGAACTCAGAGGCTGAATCCTCAAAGCTATGTTTTCTTAATTTTGGGGTTAGAAAATTGGGGTGTTTGTCTTATAAATGGGTGTGTGTTATAAACGGAAAAATACGGTAATTTCAGGTGATTAGGGATGTTCTGTGTAAAAGACCTGTACTCTTTTACTGAAACATCCACATTTAACTTAAGTAAAACGGTTTTATGCCTCAGTGAGAGATCTCAAAGAAAATTAAGTTCATGTTTTTTTTAATCATAATATTGTTTAATTTTGTCTAGATGGTACTGAAATAAAAAAAATTCTAAGTGCTTAAGAATGGCAGCACACTTCAAATTACTGGTGATCCATGACCTAAATGGAAGAGGGGAAGCCCCAACTTCCAATTTTAAGGTGAAGCGTTATCCTTCATTTGAATCACTATCTTCTCCAACTCAAATACAAAATGCAAACATGACTAAAAATTCTAGGCCAGAACAAATAAGGCTTAAATCCTGAACAAGGCACCTTTCCTTAACTCAGTGCTACTTACTGCCCAGCAGGCAGGATTGTGCTATAAGGTATTAAAGCACTTCCCAGAGATCCTTGCTAATTAAACAGGTTATTATAGCCTCAATTCATATTTTTGCATGTCTCAGCACTCATAAGACAAATGGCTACTATTTATGCAAACAAAAACAAAGAGAATCTTCCACAACATATGAGTACATTGCAAGATCAGTTTCTAATGCTTGATTATCATGATCATCTATGTGTTATTCCCTTAGATGGATTTCACACTAAAGTACAGTGATGGCCTGCTATACGCTGACCCCGCATGATGTCGAAATCACTTAACGATGACATTTTTGTGATCGCTGTTGCGATCAGAAAATGATGGATCCTATGGGGGAAATCTGCATTACGTTGATTAGGAGCCTGCTTCGCGAACCGCTTGTTCGTTATACGATGATTTTTCCGGTTCCGCTAAATGGCTTCCCTCCACAAAATGGCTTCCCTCCCTTCTCAAAATGGCTACTTTCCGGAGGGAAGCTTCGCATTACAGCAATTTTGAACAGCTGATCGGCGGTTCTCTATGGGCAATCTTCACTGGACAATGAGGTATTTCCCCCATTGGAACGCATTGACCGGTTTTCAATGCATTACAATGGATTTCCCCCCCCGCTTGACGATATCACTTAACAGCGATTTTTCTGGAACGGATTATCATCGTCAAGCGGGGCACCACTGGGTATCTCATACTAAGGCAGACACATGACTACCATAAGGGAAAAAGAACTGCTTCAATAACACCAGAAAAAGCAATTCCATAACAAAGCCAAAACAAATACTGCCTCTAATTTGCATGGTACAAACCAAGGATCACACTGTCTCAGCACATGTAACACTAGTTCTTCTATGGATGAAGCTCAGAGACCATAAACTAAATTATATTACGTAATAAATTATTGTACGATGAACGAACTATTCCTTGAAATAAGCAGTACTTTTTGTTACATTAATGCAATTGGTCCTTACTGCGAATTCTCGGTTGCAATATCCTGCACAGGCATCTCGGGATCTCCAAGAACAGTTAGTATATGAAGAAACCTCTTGTATGTCAATGGAGGTGCTCCTCTATTTAGTTCCACAATCCTGTATAATAGAAGGTTACAGTATGAACAGAAACCACTTGCAAAAGAAAGCTAACACTGAGAACAGAATTTGACCACGGCAAAGAAACTAATTTCTCATCAAAATATGCTTAGGTAAATGAACAGTACATACAACTGCATAAATTGGTTAGGGGTTTGACAATGTCGCTCATATTTATAAAATCTTGGATAACATCTAGCTTCTGCAAAATTTTGACAGATTCAGTCAAGCTTATACATTCTTCTAAAGGCTTATACATTCTCCAATTGCTGGAAGTTCAGAAAGTAAGAGTTGCTGAAATATTCAGCAAATGGATAAAAGCCAAATCATGCAACCCTGGTTTCTCAGTTGTTGCCATGATATGCATACCTGGCACATATGCAGCTCTTCATTCGGATGGTAACCATTGTGTATTACTGGTGCAAGAATAAAAGACACAAGCTCTATTCAGATGTTAAAAGTGAAAGCCAGAGAGGCTGTAACTGTGGTGGGAGACACGGGCACTCCCAGAAACGTCACAATCACCTCTCACTCCCATCTAGAAGGCAGCCCTTTCCCTGTTCACTGAAAAGAGCTGCAGAAGCATTTGTACCCGAGTTCAAATTGGATATCCCCACAACATTTCTGTGATTAGAGACCTGCCTTGTGAGAATTCTCAATTACAGGAATGCTGTAAACATGTTCAGATAAACAAGCTTAGAAATGCCTCTGCAAATCTTCACAATGAATATGCAACAGTCCACTTATATCCAATGAAGTGTACACAGAAGGGAAGGACTTGCCTGCATTTCCACAATACCACACATTTAGCCCTATATTTTTTCATGCTTAACACTTGAATAGGGCATGACTGAACTCCAAATACTGTAATTTACTGCAAATGAATGGTATCTACACATGGGGCAAATGGTCATGTGCATGGCACTCAGCCATACTGGCCCTCGGTCATTCCCCAAGAGTATTTAATGCCAGCAGACATCTGCTGTTGTGTTGGGCTTAAGCTTATGGCTTCCAACAGTGTGCAAGGTACAACTACTTTACTGCAACTGGCTTAGTACGAACTAATAAGGAATTAAATATTTAGCCACTCATGAAAAAACATGATGCTTCCATCTTCCTAATTATTTACTGTTAGCATCTCAAATAGTCATGGAGGTATTTTCACTTTGATTTTATATACATTACATACTGACGTTTTGGCCTGAACCAATGACTAATCATAGAGCGGCACAATGTTTAGAGTATGTTCCCAACAAAATATAAAGCTACATTTTAGTAAGCTTGTAGTCTAGGCATGTTTACTAATCCATCTTGTAAAATGAGATCAAAGCTACCACTTGTAGCCAGGACATGACAAAGTAAATTCCACTTTCCTCATTGGGCCTTATTCCTAGTTTTCCTAGTACATGTTTAGTACTGCAACCATAACAATGCAATTGTGGACATACATATTTGGAAGTATGCTCAGTTAATTCAGTGAGATTTATTCCCATCTTAGTGGGACTGCAATCGCAGTATATGAAAATTATTTACTTTTATGTCTAGGAATGGTAAGAAACAATTTAAAGCCTGACTCATAACAATGGTCTATTCCGCAGGAGAGAACAACTGAAACCCAAACTCAGTGAAATGAAATAGACGATGACAGTTCTGTCTTCACACACTTAGCTGAGTCACAGTTGGCAAGTGGGGAGAGTGGTTTGCACTGGCAGATAGGAATTCATATATACTCTCAAAACACAAGGCATGCACACACACATCTGTGACAAAGCCAGTATGGGCCCTGAGAGAGTCTGTATCACCCTGGGCCAATTCCATACCGTCTGACATCATATAGTGTGTGCCCCACCAATGAAAACACTTCAAATCCCATTTCTTTCCCCATAGCTTGAATAGTCCTTTCCATCTCTTTGTAAAATGGTTCAATGTCATCATCCAAAGTCACTTGGGTAATATTCCACTTTTGGACATACTCCCGCAATACAATTTCATAAGCTCCTTGAATAATCCATAGACAAGAGTTCAATTTCTTTAAGTTTGCCTGAAGATCTTCTAGTGATTGCAACAGGAAATGCCACCGTAAACTTCCCATTGCAATTGAAGATGTAACAAATTTTCTGTCCAGTATATAGACTGGATATACAATTTCAGAAGACTTTAATGCAGCTAGTAGAGTGGGGTTGTCATGTAGGCGGAGACCCTTCCGGAAAAGATGAATCGTTCGATGAGACATTCTGGGTTTTTATTTAAAACCTGATGGAAGAAAAATAATTTAGATATACATTAACTGGAAAACTGAAGTCTGAAAAACTGGTACCTTTATGGAAGAAGCTTAATCATACAGGAAGCCAGGTGTATTTAAGAGATAAGACTAGCAAAACAGTGCTGGATAGAAAGTAAAAACACATCTGTTCATGTTATAGCCCTAGCTGACATGCTACTAGTACAAAAAGGGGAAAAAAAGGTAGAGATTTCCTTTCTGCCTAGCGAAACTCACATTCCTTATGCCACTTGTACAGGAAATATATCTCCGCTTGTGCCTTTCCTTCCTCTTCTACTATACAGTATCCATTTCCCAAAGGCAATTAATTCACACCAAAGTATACTCATGCAGCAGAAAATTATAAAGCCATGTGATTTACAAACAATATCCTATGGAATTCTGGGGCCCCTTGGAATGTATTAGGATTTTCTTGATGAGAAGATCAACAGGTGAAGAGGTTTCCTGGAAAGTTCCCTCATCTGATTTCCCCTAGAGTAGACTTAAGGGATTCTGGACACATTGTATCCTGCACTTAGATTAACATGCACAACAGCCAAGGTCCACAAGCTCCTTGGCTGTTTTAAACTGGGCATGCATCTGTACAGATATGAGTAATTCAAATAACCCAGTGTGGTTTTGTTTTTTTGTTTTTTGCTATATTGGACAGAGAGCAAACAAGAGCTTCTTGTTTGTATTAGGTACTCAGCAACACTCATCCAGTAACAGGAAGCAACACCTTTCCCTTAACCATCCTGATTCTTCAAAAACGCCACACACCCCGAGACGCCTACGTGCAAAGGAGCTCGAAAAGTCACTGTATAAAAGCGTCCCGTGCAAAATGTTCTAGAGAGAGCAAAGATTCCCCTCAAAGCAGAAATGAGTTAAATTCCTTCTCTATGCTGTCTGATATCGTCAATTATATCCCCCCAACTCTCAAGAGAGAGAAATGCAACGTGCTTTGTTGAATAACAAGAACGTTACGCACAAACATCGTGCATGAATTGACTTTTGAGAGACTGAACCGAATGGCACTGAGCGACCGGGGAACCCCCGCGCTTCTCAATGGGAAGGGTCCCTATTCTGGTCCTTCGGGAAAGTGCGGAGGCCAAAGCTTCCCACCAAGGAAAGCCCACAATACCCTCCCCTGCCGTTTCGACGGGCTCGAGGGGGTCCTATCTGGATACGCGAAGGTGCCGCGGGGGCAGCCATTCCCACCACGAGAGGGAAGGGAGGCGGACTCTCGCGCCCGCCGCGTTACCTGCTCCTCTCAGTCGCCGCGCAGGGGCCTTCCGGCCAGGCTGAGCTCCCAGGCGGCTTATTTCCGGCCGTCGCTTCCCGTTTGCGGGTTGCCGAGTGTGGGCAGGGGCGGCTGCTGAGCTTTCCTGCTGGGCACTGCACAGGAGTGCTGTGTGACTCTGTAAATCACAATTCCTAGGACAACCAGCTGCAAGTCCCTGCCTGCTTTGGAGATAGGTGGAAACGTGCACCGAAAAGTCTAGGGCGACTTTTGTGTAAATATGCAACAGATTGGGCTTTTAGGTACACCGAACTCGTTGGGAATTGTTTCCGAGGAGGCACGTGTAGGATGTGGTGTGTACGTATATGCAGATGACCTACCACCAGAGCCGGCCGTTGTCCCTTTTTCTGTAGCAGACCTCCCATGCTGGCAAGACATGAAACGGTGATTCCTGTTCCCCTCTTGTCTTTCTCCTCACCTCTTCATAAAGTTGCAGTGAAGAGAGACGATTAGCGGATATATCAGCATTTTAACTGCTCTTTGAAGGTACAATGAGACCTGCCAGAATACTTTTTTTAAAAAAATTGGATTACACCAGTTGGATGACGGCATCTCTAAAGGGCTGAAGGTGTATGAGATGGCTCTTCCTGCAAATCACAGCATTGCCTTACAATACCAGAATCATCGTACCTGTCCTACAGGACAGAATATATATGGTTGGATGTTCCTCTGTCAGAAAACATTCTGCACAGTTAGAAAACCAGCACACAGGGGAGGGCACTTGATTTCTGACGTTTACCTCTATATATTGGGATTTTTAACTTGAGGAACAATTATCATGTGAACTTCCACTAGCAGTCTAAATTGTTACTTAAATTTGTGTAAGGTCTCATAGTGGAGAGGGTGTGGGTCTTTTATTGCATTTTTTCCTGGGCTGCTAATACTTTTAACAAACCTATCAGATAAGCTAATTTTTAGTATGAAAACTATGGAGCATCTTTGAAGTGTTTACCAAGTGTGTTCATGTATTGCAGGAAATTATCTTGGGTGACATGATTGCTTGACACCAGTATAAGTAGGTTTTAGCTTCCGTAGAAGTTAAAACAACAGTCAGATGGTACCTTAAAGTCTAACATATTTATTGTGAGATAAGCTTATATGAAATGTTAACAAAATCAAAACAGTATCATCCAGGTGATGGCTGTAACCAGCGAGGCCAAAAGAAAATGAAATGCAAAAAGACTGACAATGTAAGCAGTTACAGCTTCAACCCACAAATGCATAATTTCATTTTGCTGCTTTTAGAGCCAAATTAGTTGTAGGCTATTTGCCCCCAAATAACTCTGTAGCAAATTTTCTTTATAGTACAGATATCCAGAACAGAACAACAAGCAGATGAGTAAACATTTTTCAGTTGACATTTTGAACCACCAATACAGAAAAAGTGGCTTATGTACAATGTAAACATGATCTTAGTTCCATGTGGCCTTATAAGTTCATTTAATAGAAACTCTAGGCAAATTGTGCAACAGTGATAGAGAACTTAAATTATCTTTTGTGCATTAGAACATAGTTTAAACATAGATCATACAACATAAACGTTTACCTAGTATTGTCAAATGGCTTAGTGTGGTGATTATTTTAAAAAGTGTCATCTGTGTTAGCCATTTAATTGAAGAAAATGTTTTCTGACATGTTGCTTACCTCATGGAAAAATGTGTAATAATAAATATATGATGAATCAAATTATATTGAGACTGTTGACTGGGAAGACAGGCTCCCTTCTAAGCCATGAGAATATACAATCTTAAGCATGTTGATTTGGGGAAGAGGCTCTAATCATTTGGGAAGAAATGACAGAGGAGGAGCAGCTCAGGAAAGGACATAGCATAGAGGGGTGGAAATGAAAGGCAGCCCCTATGGGAGGAGAAGGGGAATGTAGTGAAGGATGTAAAAGAAGGGGGAAAGGCAAGAAAACAGGTATAGGTGATGAATGGAACAGAGGAGGGGAGGTCTGGAAAGACTCTGTGGAAGAGCAAGTGGCAGATGCCAATCTAGTTGAAATAGAGGTGCTCTGAACACCTCAAGGATTTGGAGAAGATATTCAAGGGAGACCCATGGAACAGGGAACTGGCATTGTTTAAAATGCTACCAAGGTGGTAGCGGAAATGAGATCAATTCAACCCCTTAAAAACCCTCTTATTGGGGAGAATAGGAGAGACTTGAGAGCAGGCGCTGAGCACAAGAAATTTTTTCCCCAAGAGAGGAGTGAGAGAGCAGTATACCTTGACCCAAGACACAAGGGTGGGGCTGCCGAAATCTCCATACCCCAGGAAGTTCAACAGGGAAGAGAGGGGAGTTTATCTGTATTCAGTGGTGTTTTTATAAGCCCTCTCTATTACAGCACATCCTGCTTGGCATATGTGAAGGCACTTTGTACCCCAAGGGAAATCAGGGAGACTTAACATTGACTTTTGCTAAGATGAAGACACCCAGATCAGATTAACTGGAGAGTTACAAAAAGTATGTTGATGGCCATTCATTGTTACAAGTTGATAAAGTTAGCAACTCAAAAAGTTGTTCAATAAAAGCCATTGTTTTGCATACTACTACTGATTCCTGCTGCAAGAAAGCAAAGTGGCTGTCCAACGACTCAAAAAGTTGTTCAATAAAAGCCGTTGTTTTGCATACTACTGATTCCTGCATCATAGACATAAATATAGGTGAAAAAGACCTTACAGTCATAGCTGTCAGAAGAGGGAATCACATATATACATCAGTTCTAGCCATGAAACCTTGTGGAAGAGTATCTGGAGACTTATATGTTTTAATGTGTATCTTTTAGAACATTTTTGTTGTATCTACCAAGTTTTATATAAACTTATATAAAGTTTGTATAATCCTTTGTATCAGAGGATACAAAGATTTTTAAAGGACTGTGGCAATAGCCATGTTGTCTGCTATGAACTAAGCACACTCATAATGTTTGAATTTCCCTCTCTCCGCACATGATTACTGAATTCCAAACATCTTTTTAAAACAGTGTAAATTTACAGGCCTCCTTCTTCTATAGCAAGACCATATGTGTAAAGTAAGGGCTAGGCTGATTGGCTCACTTTGGTCAAGTTAGAGAGCTTATAGCCAGGTTAATGACTGTATAGGATTTGCATCAGCCCAGCCAAGTTTGTATGTGTGAAATTGTAAGTGGAATGCTTTGTTGATTGGTCTTGAACATTAAGAAAATGTTCAATTGCTGGCAAATGTTAGGGAAAAAACTGAGAACATGGCCAAACAGCGCAAAAAACCTACAACCATCTAATCATGAATCCAACAGGGCTACTCAGATAAGTATGTACTGTATTGAGTACCCATTGAGTAAATCCCATTGCATGCAGCAGGTCAGGACTGGGCTTGCATGCAGGTCCCCATGTGCTTCTCTTGGTGGTTTCTGTGGGCTATCAAATTGCTTTTGCTGGTACAGGGGAATCCAGAGGAGGCTTTTCTCTCAATCCTGCCACCTTCTCTGTTGCTGCTCCCAGACTTTAGAACTCACTTCCACGAGAGGCTAGGCTGGCCCCATCTTTCCTGTCCTTCCGCAAGCAGACAAAGACCTTTCACTTCAGGCAAGCCTTTCCCTTACTGACTGGCTGCCTGAGTGATGGTATCTATTTAATCCTTTTGTATTTGTATACTCACCATTGTTAGCATTAAATACTGTTTTTTAATGATATAAGCCACTTTGGGTCCTTTTTTTAAGGAGAAAGGCGGGGTACAAAAAAAAATCTTAAATGAATAAATAAACAGATAATTAACTCCGGGATAATACCCAGTTGTATCAACATTGTTAAGGAAGCCAAGAAGAAAACCAGCTCCACTCTTGTGTACCGGAAATGCGGATCGGGATCACGTTAGGGATGAAGTCCCGCGGGCGCCGCTCAATGGGTTTGAGGTTTGGGAGGCCGCGACTCATACAACCGATAAACCAATTGCCATTAAGTCCGATTTTGAAGAGCGTTTGATCCACCCAATCAGACTGCTCGGAAAAAGGCGCGTCGCGGCCAATGGGCTTTGAACGAGCAGCGCGGTTTCTTGGGTGACATTTCGGCTGGGCGCTTTTCGGGGGACCCGGGAGGCGAGGCGAAGGAGTGTGGCGGCGTCTGCGTCTCGGCCTTCGGGTGACCCCCCCCCAACTTCTGCAGAGCGGCCGGCCAACCTCCTCTTGAAGTGGGTCTTCTCTGTTAGAGAGCCGCCAGTTCTCAGAGTAGTTCAGCGGGAACTGGGGTGGGCGCGAGGAAGGCTTGCGGGCTGTCTTTGCAAAAAAAAGGACGCTTCTCTGGTGCGACGCGGGTCTTTGCAGACCAGCTTCAGATCCTCCTGGATTCGGGTCGGTTGCAGCCTCCCCAGCCCTTGCCTGCAGGGCGAGGAGAGAAATCACAACCCTAAAACTTTGGAAAGTTGCCCCCCACCCGACCCCTGCTCTCTGCAGAGGACCAACTTAGGAGCACCCCAAGCAGGAAGCGGTTTTTGTTTTTGCGTCCCCCCTCCCTTGCCATCAGTACTAAGGCTCACCTTCTTGCGCTCACCCTTCCATGAAAAATCACCAATCTGCAAGGTCATCCAGCCACCGAGGGTCACATTTTGGAAGGAAGGGTGACTGGAGGTCTTAATAACATCCACCACCACCACCCAGGCCTCGGTTTATATAAACAGTAAATAAGAGACCTATGGCAGCAGCTAATTTGGGGAGGCAGGACCCCCTTAATAATTTAGGCATGTTTAATAGTCTGGGATGTTTATTTTAGTAGTTGTAAACAAAAAAAAAAAATCACCAATCAGACCTAGTGCCCTTTTTTATAGTAGAAAGAGGACAATTCATTTCTTGACCCTTATCATAAAAGAGGCACATTTTTTCCTTCACAGAAGGTTTTAAAATTCATTAAACTGCTTTTCTAGATCCTGGAACCTGAGAGAGAAGAAGTCATTTTGATACTGTTTGGAGCTGTTGTCCTTTGAACAAGTGAATCTCCAGAGTTCTGCTGTTCTGAAGGAGTGCTGCATTGCCTACCAGTAGATCCTATACGTACTGTATTTAGTGATCCTGGTAAGATTGTTGTATGTAAGTTACAAAATGTTTCACTATTACTCCAATTTATCATTGCTTCTATGTATAGAGCTGCTTCTGACTTACTAAAACAATTTAGAATTATTTTGAGTAGAACTAGACCCAGCTCACAATAATCAAGAAAAATTGTAATTCATTTTACACATTCTGTACTCCCTGCTGTAAAGCTTAGGGAGTTATTTAGATGATTCTGCTATTACTGCACTTCTAGTAGGCAATTCATGATTGAAAGATGATAGGTGATTATTGAAAAGGGTCAAGATTTTTAAAGGGTTGATTTTTCTCATGTTGCAGTGCAATGCAAAGGGCTTCACGGCTCAAGAGGGAGCTGCACCTACTGATGACAGAGCCACCACCAGGTATTACTTGTTGGCAGAATGAAAGTCGCATTGATCTTCTTCAAGCACGTATGTATCTTTCTGGATTTGATATTTCTTTATCTTCAATTGACTTTTATTTTGATTTTAATTGTGTTAGCTAACAATGTTTGACCTATTGTAGGGAAGGGCAAACGGCTCTTCTTTAAATATGGTTCGACTGCAGCTCTCAGGTCTGCTGACTGACTGTCTTAACTAGGTTTAATGAGACTTGCAATACAACCTTTGGAGGCCTGCATTTTGCTCACATGTGGCCTGTTATCATCACTGAATAAAAGTACACGTTTACTTTTGCTATTCTCCCAACCCATGCAAATCATTTCATTTTGACTGTTTTTTTTTCAATTTTCTATCTTCTAAACAAGCACCTATATGAAATAGTTTCTTTAACAAACAAAGCCTTCAGGTTTGGAACTAAATAACTTTTTTACAATTTAGGGCAAATATTGTAGTTCTGCATGTACATTGAGTTAAGAGACTTTTTTTTCTTTGTGCTTTACCTGTACATGTAGGAATCACTGGTTGAAAACAAAGCCTTTAATCACAGGCACACTTGGGTGTTTTTTTTTTTAAGAAGTAGCTGTGTTGGTTTGTGCAAGCCTATCAGATTAAAAAAACAAAAACAAAAAGCAAGGCAATGCTGCAGATCCTTAAAGATTAAGTGCTAACTTTTAATATGAGCTATCATGGATCAAGTCAGCTTCCGTAGACACAAGAGTGAGACTATAGGACTGTCATATTTATACATAAGCATGGAAGATTACATCAGCTTCCAACTTCTAGGTAATTTGACTTTAATTTGGCTTCAATTGGTGTTACCCATGAGTAGACCAAATTTATTCCCGGTTCTCTGATGGGGACTCACTATTACCCTTTTTCTGGCCAAATAGGAACTTTAACTTTTAAAAGAAGGCAGTGGAGATGGGGGTAAATACAAATTATTTGTCAGCCCTTTGTTTAAGAAAATGGGAGGTAAAATCCAACCAGTGGCCAACAGGGGCAGAGTTTGAAACCCCAAACTCCATATTGTTTTGCTTTTTAACTCTCCTTTGAGGATCAAATGGGCACAGACAACTGCCAAAACATTTTGGGATTCAAATACAGTATGTGCGTTGTCCATAATGTTTTGGTGCACAGATCGAGGAAGGCAGATTTATGTTGAAAGCTAGCTGTTCGTTCAGTTTTTTTAGTGGTCCAATAAAGTATCACCTGTCCTCACCTTTGTATTGCACAACAACCATATGGGTCTGATCTGTTTTTTCATATTTGTACATGGCTCCATGTATAAATAGAGGGGATAAAGATAATGAACAAAGTGTCAATGGTTCGTTAGTAATGAAATAGACTGTCAGCCCTGAATAATTTCAGTTATCAATCTATAAGGTAAAAATAGCATAGTTGACACAGGTAGCAAATTGGAAATCAGTGTAGGATTTCCCACTTGGTAATGACTCAAGAACCCTTGATAGATATTCAGTCCTTGTAAATGAGTTTCTATATACAGTATACTTTATTTCAACTGTTTCTCTTTCAAGTCTTGTAGGTTTTTCCCCAAAATCTTACTTGCAGATCACTCAAGGGGTGTCTAGATCTACTGAAATGTTCTGAAACAGGTTTCTGCATGCTGTAATTCCTGATGTCAGATTTATGTCAGTTAATTCTTTTGCAGTAGAGATTGTCCCATTTGTCCTCTGTAGAACGTAGAAAGGCATTGTTGGCAAAGAATGGTGTAGGTCATATTTACAGAGGAACAAGTCAACAGCCTCTAATGTTGTATGTGACATTGCTCCTCTGGGTCAGTCTTGCAGTAGGATGCTTTTGAGCATTCATCTTCCCCAGTTAATTTATTCTTTAACCATATTGAGTGGGTAGTAAAGTCTGAGAAATACCTTTTGTAGATCCATGATTCTGGAGTCTCTGTTTTATGGTTCCAAGGTGATGTGGAAAAAATGTGGACTTGTATTTAGTCAGTAGATTTTGTGATGTGCTCCAGATGGAAGCTGAAGGTATGTAAGTATGTATATTGGTTGGTGGGTTCTGTTCAACATTCAGAGTAACATAGACAGGAAAGGATTGTAAGTGTTTACATTTTTCCAGAAGTAAGGGCTGGTAGTTAAGAGTAGAATGTTGTCCTGGTTTGACATAAACGGTAAATAGCTGTTCTGCAAGACTGATATAATCATTCATATTCCTACTTTGAAAATTATATTGTGAATTTCAGGTACTTGGAGAAACAAAAAAACCCACACAAATAACGAATTTAGTAGACGGCCCTCAAACATCTTCTTGTATCTGAAGATGTGGATTGCCATCCACGAAAGCTCATACTGAAATAAATTTAAGCATCAAACATGCTACAGTACTTTTGTTGTTGATTTTGTTTCATTCTGGTTTTTGTTGTTGCTGTTGTAGAAACAAGCTAACATGACTATCTCTCTGAAAACAACATACTGTATTGCTTACTGTGTCACTTCTGATACTTAATGTCTAAAGCAGGGATAGGTAACTTCAGAAATTCCAGGAGCCAAGTTTCTGCCCCCAGGACTCACTATAGATCAGATCAGACCTGAAAATGTAAAATATGTCATTTTAGTCTCTAGAATTCCATTTCTCATTTTGGAGTTTTGCTTTGTTTTAGAGGTGTTTGGAAGTGCCTGCATCTTCCCCCACCCCCTTTTTTTTAAGCAAAAGGGGGAATTTTTCCCCTCTACACACTCAGTTTTTTCTAGTTGGAGGACTAGGCGCTCAAAAAAAAAAAAAAAAAGGCTAGGAATGTGCATGTAACTTCTGATTCCACCTTTGATATTCATCTTAAATTTTGAATATTTATGTCCAGCCTCCTTTAGACAATGTAATCACAAAGCAGATTCCAAAACAGTAATAAAAACAGACAATACATATTAACACAAACAAAAAGGATTAAAAGCCAGGTAAAATCAGTAAGTCTCATTGACTACGCAAAAGCCTTTGACTGTGTGGACCACAGCAAACTATGGCAAGTTCCTAAAGAAATGGAAGTGCCTGACCACTTTATCTCTCTCCTGAGAAATCTATATGTGGGACAGGAAGCAACAGTTAGAACTGGATATGGAACAACTGATTGGTTCAAAATTGGGAAAGGGGTACGACAAGGCTATATATTGTCCCCTGGCTTATTTAATTTATATGCAGAATACATCATGCGAAAGGCTGGACTGGAGGAATCCCAAGCCGGAATTAAGATTGCTGGAAGAAATAGACAACTCGATGTACAGATGATACCACTTTGATGGCAGAAAGTGAGGAGCACAAAAAATGATCTGAAGCTCAACATCAAAAAAAACTTAAGGTCATGGCCACTGGTCCCATCACCTCCTGGCAAATACTGTAGAAGGGAAAGAAATGGAGGCAGTGACAGATTTTACTTTCCTGAGCTCCATGATCACTGCAGATGGTGACAACAGCCACAAAATTAAAAGACGCTTGCTTCTTGGGAGGAAAGCAATGTCAAACCTAGAAATCATCTTAAAAACCATCCCTTTGCCGACAAAGGTCCACATAGTCAAAGCGATGGTTTTTCCAGTAGCAATGTATGGAAGTGAGAGCTGGACCATAAACAAGGCTGATCACCGAAGAATTGATGCTTTTGAATTATGGTGCTGGAGGAGACTCTTGAGAGTCCCCTGGACTGCAAGGAGATAAAATGCTTAATATGGGGGGGCAGTTTCAGTCAGAAACTCGTTTCGTGTTTGCCCATGTGGTCGTCTATGCTTATAAAGAAGCAGATCTGTTCCGATTAGAGTCATTGTTTCATTCCAAAGCTAAATGGTAACTCTGGAGAATAATTACCACCCTTGCTGGAATTCTTCTTTTGTTCTTGTTCTGCCAGGTTTCTTGGATGGGTCTGTTTTTAAAAGGTTGTAAAATATTATTATTATGGTTCTTGTGACCAGACTGTAAAATCTTGAAGTAACTACTTCAGTTATCCCAAGGGGGCAGTGTTGACCCATATTTTCTGTCATTTTCTTAGAAATTCTGGGTTCTGCAAATACACCTTATGAAAGAGGGGTTTTTGATTTGGAGGTTGTTGTACCTGAAAGGTAAGCTATGCTTTTTAAAATCTTTGATATAAAACTTTACTTAGCAAAGATGGGCACAAAATGGAAACGTGATCATGTAGAAAGGCGGAGAGTATACTGCAGATGATTAGAGGATTGGAATGAAAATCATAATGTTATCAACATTTAGTTTCTTCCTCTAGATTTTAGGTTGCATTCTTTCTCAGATGGCATGGGAATAGGGATCTGTACATGTTAACTTGTGGAGCACTTTATACTCTTTCAAATAAGAGAAATATGTGTGTAACAGGTATCCATTCGAACCTCCGAAAATACGTTTTCTAACCCCAATCTACCATCCCAACATTGACTCAGCAGGAAGAATCTGCTTGGATGTGCTCAGATTGCCACCTAAGGTAATGAATTGGCTTTCTTTACAATAATCAATGACAACAGCAGTAGGTACTGATGGCTGGGTCTGGAAAATGTGACTGTTGCCGTGTGTATTGGTACAAAGATTTCTAGCTAGTATTCCCCTGCTGAGATGACTGGATGGAAGCTAGAAACTTGTTTGGGCTGGGATTCTCAGAAGCTTTTTAAAAATCGTAGTTGGATTTTTGTGGTTAGTTTGTGTTCAGGAACAGTTTTGTAGCCTGTTTTTCTCACTGTACATACTAATAATAGAAAACTCAGATGATAGGTACCAACTGGATTATAACCCAAAAGGGGACACCATGATACAAGAGGAAGTATCAGAATGCCTAAGGAAGATAGATTTGTATCAGTACACAATATATTTGGAAAGAGACAGGGAGAGAAAACCACCCTACTAAGTCCTACTTCCCCGGCTGAGGAAGGCGGGGCGCCCCTGTGCTCACGCGCATGCACAAACAAGCACGCACACTCTCTTGCAGAGCGGGCTGCTGCCCGCATGAGCACTGCACCACCATTTTCGCATGCGCGCAGGCACATGTGGGCCTGCACAAAGCGCACGGTGCCATTTGCGCATGTGCACAACCGCTCGTGTGAATGCACAAACAGCAGCACATGCTTATGCAGGCCCGCACACACCCACGCACATGTGCAAATGGCGGCGCGGAGCGCGTGTGCAGTCACAAACAGGCGGTGCAGGGGTGAGTGCGCATGGGGGCAGGGGGACGTCTCTCTCGGCGGCCTGGTCTGGCCCAGGCCAGGGACTGGGACCGGACCGGGGGTTGGGGATCGCTGGCCTAGACAACTCCAGAGAAATAAGGCACATTTCTTTTCATATCTAGCATTTCCCTTAAAACTTTTTTCCTGCTTTTTCTATGAAGGGTGCATGGAGGCCATCCCTGAATATTGCCACCTTGCTGACCTCTATACAGCTGCTTATGAATGAACCCAATCCGGATGACCCACTCATGGCTGACATAGTAAGTGTTCTTTCCTTATTTGCTGGGATTCTGAGATAGATTTTTGAAATTATTTATTTACTTATTCATTCCATTTTTATATTGCCCGATTAGTGCAAGGCACTAATCTGTGTAGTTAACAAAGAGATAAAGCAAATACAGTCATATAACAATAAAGGTAAATAATAATCAAAATAGAAAATAAGAACACAGTAAGTAGTAAAAAAAGGATAAAAGGAACATTTAATTAAATTAAACTAGGCCTTCCTTACTAGGAAAATTAATTACAAGTAACTAGTTAATTGCTAGTCAACCCTGAGTGCTCACTGGAAGGACAGATCCTGAAGCTGAGGCTCCAATACTTTGACTATCTCATAAGAAGAGAAGATTCCCTGTAAAAGACCCTGATGTTGGGGAAGTGTGAAGGCAAGAGGAGAAGCAGACAACAGAGGATGAGATGGTTGGATAGTGTCACCGAAGCTACCAACATGAATTTGACCAAACTCTGGGAGGCAGTGGACGACTGGAATGCCTGGCATGCTCTGGTCCATGGGGTCACAAAGAGTTGGACACGATTTAATGACTAAACAACAACAATATATCCTTGTTTGGACTATGAGGAGTTTCATTGCACTCTAGTTTCTTCATATCCACTTGATGCACATTTATTATAGGCAGAAAATTAATCCATTTAATTTCTAGTGGTACACCTTAGGAAAAATCTTGGTCATAGTCAGGTGGAATTACAGACTGAAATTGATTTGTTAAGAACAAAGTAAATACTTCCCACCTTGAGATATCTGTGCTTCAGATTTGTTTACTTAGCAACCAATACAGTAAGCAGAATATTAGACCCTTTTTTCAAAGATCTGTCTTGTCCTAAGCACCTAGTATAGTTAAGAAGTCTTCCATGTCTTCTTGTAAAGCTATCTTAAAAATGACTATGATATTTGTTCTTGAGCCCATAATTATTCTTGTCTCTCGCTTTTTTTATTACTATTATGTCTAGTCCTCAGAGTATAAATATGACAAGCAAGCATTCCTCAGAAATGCTAGACAATGGACAGAGAAATATGCAACCCAGACAACAATGGTAAGAAAAATGCATCACTTCTATTATGGTGGAATGGAGGGTGGGTTAATCTTCACATGTGCAATCTTGCTTTGCTCAATGAAATATTTTAGATCTGTGTCACTTAATTGCCTATCTACCTATAATTGTGCTTCTGGAATGGGAATACGGTGAATGTGCCATAATACTCAAATTATCTGCAAGTTATCCCTTCTGAGATACCCTTCTTTTCTCGCAAGCTGAAGTTTCTTTTTGTTTTTTCCTGGCCATTGTGCCGTAGTTCAAAATGTCAAGGAAGATCTCTGTATTTTTCAACCCAGGTCTTATAGTATTTGTTTACTGGTCTAGTGAGTTCCCTCTGCAATGTTTCTTTATGAGATCTTGTCTACACGTGCTGTAAAACGAGGTAGTAGAATCCTGAGGTTGTAGAGTAGGTCTGAACTGCTGGCCGGGAATATCATTTTTGAACCCTCCCTTGAAAACTCCTTACTAATCAAAACAGTAATTTATGTCACCTTGTTAATGTTCTGCTGAAAGTGCAGGCCAGACCAACCTGTAATTATGACCCATTCCGACATACCCTCTTATTTTCAGCCCCGCTGGACGGGGCTCCACCTCTCCCACGTGCAACTTCGCCCCTGCGTGTGCTGAGTCTGGAACCAGTTCCGTCCCAACCGGAACCTAATGTGATTGCTGCACAGAGGAGGAAGACAGCTGTGCACAGGGAAACAGAGACACACGCCCATCTTAACGGGAACCTTGACCCATTCTGTCATCAGCCTTCTGACTGTATCTAGGATAGAAGAATAAGTTTTCCTATATATCAAAAACGTGAAGTCCCAATATCTTAGTCATAGTACCTGCTCACATACAAAATATATGTAAAACGGCCAGATCAGGATATTGATAAACACAGGTACCCAGCTTGCTGGGAGAGGGGGCAGTGTATAGCCCGCATAATTAAATTGTGAACTGCCCAGAGAGTGCTTTAAATGCTATGCAGTGGTATATAAGTAGCATACTTTATAAGAGACCTGGGCCTAGGTTTAGGAGCAAAGAAAGCAGGAATAACTCCAGAAAAACAAGATTGGATATGACAAGGATGTAATTGATTGTAAAAAAAGGACCTTACTGTACTCTTCATTTAGCACATTCTTATCCTTCTAAGGAAGTCGGGAACCAGTTCTTTGCACAGTTTAGCACTAATGATGTATATAAATTCAGATTAGCAGTATCAGTCCTTCAGGATTATTCTGTGGCAACTTCAGTGTGGTGTATTCAAATAAATCTAATGTAATATTCAATAATCAACGGTTGCAGATCTCAAAAGATACTTTTTGGACTGCAACTCAGTCCCTCAGCCAGCATAGCCAATACATAGTCCAAAGCATTATGCTTTCTTTGTTGTTATTTAGTCCTTAAGTCATATCCGACTCTTCATGACCCCATGGACCAGAGCTCGGCAGGCCCTCCTGTCTTCCACTGCCTCCTGGAGTTGGCTTAAATTCATGTTGGTTGCTTCGATGACACTGTCCAACCATCTCGTCCTCTGTCTGCTTCTCCTCTTGCCTTCCCTCTTGCCTAACATCAGGGTCTTTTCTATGGAGTCTTCTCTTCTCATGAGATGGCCCAAAGTATTGGAGCCTCAGCTGCAGGATCTGTCCTTCCAGTGAGCACTCAGGGTTGATTTCCTTCAGAACGGATAGGTTTTATCTCCTTGCAGTCCATGGGACTCTCAGGAGTCTCCTCCAGCACCACAATTCAAAAGCATCAATTTTTCGGCAGTCAGCCTCCTTTATGGTCCAGCTCTCACTTTCAGACATCAGTACTGGAAAAACCATAGCTTTGATGATGCGGACCTTTGTTGGCAAGGTGATGTCTCTGCTTTTTAAGATGCTTTCTGGGGTTATGCTTTCTAAAGGTAAAAGGTAAAGGTTCCCCTTGACAATTGTTGTCCAGTCCTGTTCGACTCTAGGGGGCTGTGCTCATCCCCATTTCCAAGCCATAGAGCCAGCGTTTTTGTCCGAAGACAATCTTCCGTGGTCACATGGCCAGTGCGACTTAGACATCTACTCATGATCAAATATCTAGCAAACACTGATGAAAAGAATGCTGTGATTATGCAACTGAAACACTAGGGGTCACCTGGCTCTTAAGTAAGCCACTTCCTTCAGTAGTTATCATTTCTTCTCTGCTGATAGAAGAGATATGAAACTTAAAAACTTGTTGCTTGACGGCATAACTATAAAAAATAATGTTAAACATTTCTGGCTCTCTGTTAACGTCTGTAGAAAGCATTCTTCATTTCTGTTTGGTCGGTGGTAACTCTGCATTATCCTGAACTTGTTCTCTAAGCATTCCTTAAAAGAACTGGTGTATTTCTGGTGGGGATGTAAATCCTCACAGGCACATGTGCAGAAGTGCAATATTCTCCTCTTGACCAATTTGGATGGCAAGGAATTTCCTAAGGCTTTTGATAATGTTCTCACGTCATATCCTTGCTCTATTCTGTGTGCTTTGCTTCTCAAAAGGAGGGAGAATTAGAGGCTCTTGTTAGAATTGGGGGGGCTCTTATTGGAATTCAAAGCTCCTTGTCAGGGTTCTGCCATGTTGAGGCAGCTAAATTTGAAGTTTAGAAAATATTTTTCTATCCCTAATCTGTGATAAAGATAAATGCAAAGGATACAAATATGGCCTGCAGCACTTTGCAGATGTTACGTAGAAGGAGTTCCTGACAAGGGTTGTTTTAGCTCCCAGAACAAACATGTTGTGGAAAAATGAGGGAGAAAAGTGATGTTGTTGGGTCACTGAGCCAGGTTAACGGTAAAGTAATTAAGAACCAAGAGAATGTTGGATGGGAGGCAAGAACATGGGGTCAGGTGGGGAAGGGATTAGTTGTTCTCTGCCTGCACAGAAGAGCATGACTCTTGAAATTCTGAGCACCTGTGTGATGTGAATGAACGCCCTATTTCTTTGATTGAAATGTGAGTGCAGAAACCAAATGCGTTTCCCTCTGTCAGTAGTACCTTCTCTTATGTGATTTCTAGGTCTTGGAAACTCCAGATGACGTGAACCACCAAAGTGAGACCAACCCATCCAAACTTTCTGATGTTTCCCAGAAAAGGAAAGGAAGCAGTGCTGGTGGGTCATCCAAAAAAGTTTGCTCAGATACATAGAGGATTTGCCGCTGTACAGTATCCCATTCTCTGTCAGTATTTGTTTTTAGTGCCATTTTCCATCTCTTAAATAAGTTTGATGTAATTAATGTACTGTTTACTCATGATGTAATGCCTCTGCAGCTGTCAATGATCTTATTATAGTGTCCAGTATGTTGGTGTCTGTTCTTAAAAACACATTGCTTTACTTCTCTGGCATATCCACATTCTTCAGGGCATTTTCTCTTTTATTTTATTTTATGCTGGATTCCCTATCTTTTGCTGTAGTTATGCTCATTTTTAAAAAACAATAAAGGCAAGAATGAATACATAATATTTGATTTCCCTTTGACTAATATTTATAAATACTTGGCAAATCTATTGCTTTTGGCAGGAAAAGGTACTAGCTTCAGCTTTTACATGCACATTTAAGGAACAGTGCATAATATTTTAGGCATCTGTCTTTCCTCTTTTCGGTGCTTTCACATTATGTCTTCAGCAGGTTGAGTGTGAGTCTGAAGGACCTGCAGTTTCAAGGTAGATCCCATGCTTTTAAGTTCCATCCCTAGTTAAAAAGATTTTCCAATACAGTCGTGCCTCGACTTACGAACTTAATCCATTCCAGAAGATGATCGTAACTTGAAATGGTCGTAAATCGAAGCACCATTTCCCATAGGAATGAATTGAAATCCCATTAATCCATTCCGGGGGGGGGGATCACCAAAAAGAGCACACCAACATTATAGAGCCCCATTGGAACATGCTGGGGCCGGGAAAAAAAACCACCACCACCACCCCAAAAAAACCTCAGCAAGCCCCATTGGAATGCGCTGGAGCCGGAAAAAACACACAGCAAAAAACAAAACAACACAGCAAGCCCCATCGGAATGTCCTGGGGCAAAAAAAAAAAACCCAAAACAACAACACTGCAAGCCCCATCGGAACACACTGGGGCCGAAAAAAACACACACACCAAAAAACAAAAAAAATCACAGTACAGAAACATAACTGCCCCCAGCCCAAACTCACAATGCAAAACCCTGTATGTACTCACTCAGAAACAGAGAGTAGCACCAGGCAGTCTAAAGCCTCCTCGGAACGCAAACACTCTAACTGTTGGAGCGAAAGAGCTACAAAGAAGTAGCCTCTTTGCCAACCAACGTTAAGCAATTTAAATTCGCCACCTTTCCCCCCACCTCTTTTCTGATCATAACTCAAAACTCTGGTCACAAGTTGAAACAAAATTTTGCGGCTGGAGCTGGTCATAATTCAAATTGGTTGTAAGGACATTTGTAAATCGAGGCACCACTGTAGTAGGTTGTGCTGAGACTTCAGAAAGTTTGGAAATACAGACTTTGAGCTTGACGCTGCAATGAGACAGCAGGACAGAGCTCCGTCCCCTGGGCAGAATTCTGACCAGTTTGGGACCTCCCAGGGGGTTAAAACCACCCCAAAGAGGTGGTGAAATGGGGAAGACGCCTGTTGATCTCGTGGGCAATGGGGGTTACCCCTGTTTGATCTGGGAAACTCCCCAATCAACCAGCGGGCGGAAATAAGCAGCTGAAAAGCTCACCTGCAAGTCGTCAGCAGCCGGCAATAGGGAAGTGATAAACTAACTAATTAACATCATTATCATTGGATAAGAAATATTTACAGTGGTGCCTCGCATAGCGACGATAATCAGTGCAGCAAAAATCACTGCAAAGCAATTTCGTCGCTATGCGATTTTAAAAAGCCCATAGGAATGCATTGAAACCCCTTAGATGAGGAAATTGCTTGACGATTAGTTTTTTGCGATCACTATTGCGATCACTAAACGATGACTGAATGGGCTTTTTTCGCTTAACGTTGATCGGTTCCCTGCTTCGGGAACCGATTTTTCGCTTAATGACGATCAAAAACAGCTGATCATTGGGTTTCAAAATGGCCGCCCGCTGTGCAAAATGGCTCCCTGCTGTGCTTTAGGA